TTTTTTGGTACAGGGGATCAAACTCAGGACCTTGCGCTTGTGAGGCAGGTGGTGGCACCACTGAGCTAAATTCCCAGCCCATTCATATCAGTGTAGCTCTTACTTGTCAGTATTAACAGCTATGGGCTTTATCAGTTGATCTGTCACACACACTAGTCTTCAGACTGGAAATAAGGGGCTTCCTGGACTGGGGGTGTAGCTAAGTGGTAGAGCACTTATCTAGATGTGTAAGGTTCTGGATTCCATTCTCAGCACTGCCAACATGGTGGTGGTGCGGCTTCCCCCTAAAACAAGTTTCCCATAACACATTTCCCATAAGCAGGAGGGTGACATAGTGGTTTCCTATTACTACTGTAACAAATTGCCACAAATTTAGTGACTTTGAATAGCACAAATATATTATCTTAACAGTTGTGGAGAGCAAAAGACTGAAATGGGTCTCACAGAACTAACAGCAAGGTGTTAGCAGGGCTGTGTTTCTTCTGAGGCCTCGAGGGGATTCTGTGTCCTGACATTTCCAGTTTCTACAAGCCATCCACATACCTGGGTTTATGATCCCTTCTTCTATCTTCAAAGCTAGCAACATAACATCCTCAAATCTCCCTCTGATTCTGACCATCAGCCTCCTTTCACAAGGAAAGGACACTTATGGTTGATTACATTGAGTCCACTCATGTAATCTAGGATATTTTAGGTCAAACGGTTAGTAATCTTAGTTTCATCTGAAAACTTAATCTTTATTGCCAAGTAACATAAAAAATTCATAGGTTCTGCGGATTAGGATGTGGACATATTTGGGGGGTGCTTATTCTGCTTTCCTGCTTATGACTTTAAAGTCTGGTAGCTAGGAAAATCTTCCCTGTATAATCATACAGACAAGTTTCCTATGGGCATAGCAGGCAGCAGAGGTGTCTGAGAACCTGATGAGTCCTCTCAGGTTTAATTTCAAGGTGTGTGCTCTCTGAACAAGAACATGCCAGATGAGCAGAGAAGACTGGCTTCCCAGACATGGCTCTAGGATCTGGTGGGCTGGTAGGGAGTTTCCCCACTTCTTCCACTCTTTGTATTGCAAAGGATGTGGACAAGGATGAGTTGCTTCTCCAGTTTCCCCAGTACAATACAGGGGAAGCTAATGAAGAAAAATATCCAGGCTGGGGTCTTCCCCAACATCCCTCTCCAATTTTCCTGCTCTTTGGAAAACTCAAGTATTGAGGCATATTAGTGGGCACTTCTCTGGTTTCCAGCAGTGGGTAAAGTTCTCTTTTTCCATTTGTTGAGTCATTTCACCAGGAAGTTGTGAGATTGCAAGAGTGAAATTTGTGTTTGATTCAACATTCTGGCTCTATTTCCCTATCTGCCTCCACTCATCCACAGTCATATTCTCAAGAAGCTTTAAAATATACTTTAACTTAATCCCCTCTAGTTCCCCCTCCCTTATTTAAATATAGATTTAAAAAGAAACATACCTATTGTGCAAAGCAGATAGATGCCTGGCCTTACCCTTGAGTATTCTAATTTGGTAAGTCTAAGCCGGGACCTGGGAATCTATATTTCAAAAATCTTCACCTATTATTCTGATGCACAGTCACGAGGAAATCCATTGATTTAAAGTAAGGCACACTGACATTTTGAATTTATGTTAGGAAGTAAGTAAAAAAAAAAGCCATAGACATGTTTTCTTATCTGTCTCACTGGAGATATAACTACAAAATGAAAATCTGAAAACCTGATTACTATTTAGTAGAGAAATAAACCCTCCAGAATTATAATAAAGAATCTACAATTAATTCCCCACCCTCAAATCTGGGAAAAGTGTGCTCTCCTTGGTATTTTCCCCACATACACAATGGACACCTAGTGTGGGAAGGAGAAGAGTATTTAGGGTTCAAATGTAAAAGTTCAGGAAAGGGGGTATATTTTTGCAATATCCCTTCACATCTGGATAGTATTCTGCAGTTTATGAAGTAAACTGTATATTGCTTCACTGATCCTCACAATATAACCTTGAGGTCAAGTGGTATAGGAGAAACCGAGGCTCAGAGCAGCCCACTGTCATTGCCTAAGGTGCTACAGGAGGGAGCCAAAGTCTTCATCCTTCATTATATTTGTTGGTTCCACTCTGCCCTCCCCTGACATCTTATTTTTGAGTGGCATTTACAGTGTGACAGGGAGCATACTGTCTCCTGGGGTTTACTTTTCTTTCATGGGATGGCTTTAGTCTTTCTCATACCTGGGCAGCAGCCATCTCGTAGCCATCTGGGTTCATGGATGGCAGGATGTGAATTCGTGTGCTGTGAATGAGCTGCATGATCCTTGGGTTCCAGTTCCGGAACTCCTCACACAGGAACTCCGACATCTGCAGCAGTAGCTCTCGGCCCAGCACCTCATCACCATGCATATTCCCCACATACTTGACTTCCGGCTCCACTACAAGTGAAGAAATGCACAGGCAGAAAAAGAAAAGATGGAGAAAGTTTGGATGTGCCATTGATCCCTCACCCTGCAAAGAATCTTTTGAGATCCATTCAATAATGAATGAAGGAAAATCTCAGGCTTTAATTGGGTCTTTGCCAATAGTTCTTGAGCCCCTTCCTAGCCAGTTGCAATTGCCAAAGTTCCAAGAATTTATGGCAGAGCTCATTAATTCAACTTCCATTACGCATTTGTTTATTATTCCTAATCTTCACAGAAAACCCTTGAAGAAGGCACTTTTAACTGCAGAGTGAAGAAGAATTGGGGATAGAAGAGGTTAAGTGACATGTCTGAGGACTTTAGCTAATGAATGTAATAGAAGTCAAAGCCCAGTTAGCATCTGCTGTGCCATTTACCTCAGTGCACTGCTTCTCAGAGACAAATCTTTTGGATGACGGTGGTGTTTTCCCAATACCTCTCTCACAAAGTAGTCTTGGTGATAGCATAACAATTGCTGATCATTCCAGTTGAAAATTTAATTTTCCTGGCATGTAGGAAACTAAAATCACTCCTTCATATCTGAGAAGGCCATGTCCTGAGGCACTGAATAAGGAGTTTATTTATTTATTTATTTGGATCTGGGGAAGGTGTTTATTTTTTATCTCAATACTTACTCTCCTCTTTGATCATCTTACCTGTTTAACTGAAAGATCATTCTTGTTCCCTTTCATTTTCATTTATTTAATTATTTTTTTTTTTTGAGACAGGGTCTCACTATGTAGTTCAGGCTGGCTTGAAACTACTATGTATCCAAGGGTGGCCTCAAACTTGCAGTGATCCTCCTGCTCAGCCTACCGAATACTGGGATTACAGGTTTGGGACACCACATCCAGCTTTCTTGCTCCCCTTTAAAAGAAAGAAGAAAAGCTCCTGCCAAGTGACTTCTTTTCCACTCAATACTTTTCTGCCTCCATATCTTTTTTTCTTTTCTTTCTTTCTTTTTTTTTTTGGTACCGGGAATTGAACTCAGGACCTTGAGCTTGTGAGGCAGGCATGGTGCCACCGAGCTAAGATATGACTTCTAATAGTTTGTTTTGTTAAACAAATTTCTATCTATGTTCATACTTTTTTCTTCTATTATCTTTACCCAGTTTTAGGATTAGCACAATGTTGAGTTCCTAAAATGAGGGGAGAAGTGTTTCTTTTTTTTTCTGCTTTAAATGTTTGATATAATTTATCAGTTAAAATGTATACAAGCCTGTTGTTGTCATATAGGTAGGTTTTCAAGCTAGGAATATACTTTCTTTAATAGGTGCTATTCAAATTTTATATTTCTTCCAGAGTTAGTTTCATTAATTTGTCTTCCAAGGTACTTCTTAGAAGTTGTCAAATTTATTTCAAAACAGATTTTTGAAATATGCTTCCTATATCCTTTTAAATTCTGTAAAATCTGTGGTAATGTCTCCTAGGTCTTGATATTTTAATTTTAAAAATGTGTGATTGATACTGTGTAATAGGAAATAAAGTTCTAGGGGGGGGGGGGGGGTGGGGGGAGGGAAAAGGGGAAAAATATGAGAAAGGGAAAAAAATGGAAAGGGGATCTTTGCAAGTGGGGAGGGGTGGAGGGGGTGAGGGGAGGGCAGGGGAAGGGGGAAAAAAATAAGAACCAAGATACTCATGTACAAGATCCCAATGATGTATGTAAATGTATTTTATACCTAAAATGTACCAATAAACTTAATGGTGGAAAAAAAATCCCTGGCTATATCTTTTTTGATTCTATACTCTTCATCTCATTTCCAAATCCTTCTCCTAATCCTGTAGTGCAAATTCAAATGTTTCTTACTCTGTGACACCACCTGGGCTCTCCTTGTTGGGAGTGAGCTCTCTGTTGACTTCCCTTTTATGGAACTCACTACTTTCTGCTTTTGGTTTTAACTATTTTTGACATGCCTTATTTCTTGTACTGGACCCGGCCTTAGAAATGTATATATTTCTTAATTTTCTTTAGAACACAGTGCATTATTATTTATCTCAGTATTCTTACAGTAGCCTTCTCCAAAGAAATGCTTGAAAGGCTCACAGGGGTCATCTGATAGATTTTCCACAGTGTGTATTCTTTAATGTTAGGATATTTCTTTAATCTTAGAGTATGTCAGTGATGCTGAACCTTTTAGAGCGTTCAGTGATAACAAACAGCCGGCTGTGGCACACGTGCCATAGGTTCGCCTCCACTGGATTATGTCCTTCTTACTTTTCTTAGTGTTCAAATGTCTTCCTTTTAGGAAAGGCTGGTGATAGTAGATGACTGATAGTTTTCTTCATATCTTTTTTCAGTAAAACAAAATTTGGAAAAGCTATTTTAGACTCCTTCAATCTCTCTCAATTTAAATTCTTTTTATTTTATTAGTACATGTTTGCAGTACATAATTATTACATTTATTGTGAGGAGTTAGCACTATACATTCCACATTTTAATTATTTTTATGTTCCCTGTCCCTCTACATCCCCTTCTGCTTCTTTCTATTCTTGGTTCCCTTCTCATTTGCAAAAGCTCTATCTCCATTTTATTCCCAATTCTTTCCTTTTCACCCATTTGAAAAAAATCTGCTATTTCTTATTATACATCTTTATTTTGCTCTTTATTTATATTTTGGGTTTTTCATATAAGAGAAACCATGCAATATTTAAGCTTGTGTGTTTAACATCATAGTCTCAAGGTGCATCCATTTTCATACAAATGCCTCAAGTTTTTCTTATTTATGGCAGAGCAGTACACTGCTGTGTGTCCGTACCACATTTTCTTTATCCATTCATCTATTAATGGACATTTTGGTTCAATTCCCCTTGCTCCCTCCCCTGGATCATGGTAATAAATCTCCCACTTGGTCTCCCTGGGTCTGTCCAGCCCTATTAGTCTATTCTCTGAATCAAGGTTTATAAAAATTTTTCTGTAAAGGGCCAGATAGTAATCTTTTAAGCTTTGTGAGTAATACTGTATCGCCCACAGATATTCAACTCTTTCAGTAGACGCAGCCACAGACAATACGAAAACAAATGGGTGTGACTGTGTTCCAATAAAACATTCACCAAATCAGGTGGCTGGCCTTGGGCTGCAGCTTCCTGATGTCTGTTCGAAGTGATCTTTAAAAAATTTAATTCAGATCATATAAGTCTTTTGCTTCAAACTCTCAGTGGGTTCTCACTTTACTCAAAGTAAAAGCCAAAATCTTTACAAGTCCTACCAGGCCCTGTGTGAGCTTCTGTTGCCTGGCGTCCTCAACCACCTGGCTCAACCTCTCCTCTTCCTCACCCCCCAGTCACTCTGTTTGAGATAGTGTCCCCCTCACTGTTCCTCATGTGTGCCAAGCATGCTCTGGCTCCTGGAGCATTGCATTTGCTCTTCTTTCTGCCTGTTGCACCCTGCCTCTCTCCCTCATCAGTATGGCATGCTCCTGTCAGATCTCTGTTCAAAACCACCCCAGAGGAGAAGTCTTTCCTGAGCATCAACAGCATTCCTAGCCCCTCCTCCAACTCCATGGGACTCCATCACTCCTGATTTAGTTTTTGCTATAGCACTTATTTCTATTTGACATAATGTGTGTTTAACCACCCATTTATTGCAATTTTAGCCCACTAGAATTCAGGCCCATGAGGTCAGAGTCTTTATCGTTCTTGGCTGTACTTCTGGAGTCTACAAAAGTTCTTGCATATGTTAGGTGATTAGTAAATATTTGTACTGACTGAATGAAAGGAATGTATGGATGAACAGTAAAAGTTACAGGACTTCAGAGAAATGAGGGATTGATGACAGCTAGTGTATGAAAAAGCTTCAGGGAAGGCCTTGGATGCTAGAAAGAACAAAGGCAACAAAATGAGGATACAAAGAGGAGGACTAACCCCATGTTCATTTACAGCCACAATGAACATGTGATCTGAGTAAAAGCATGTGTCTGCTCTGTAAGTGCAGCTTCTAAACAAGACTCTTATCCCCGTGTAGCAACATAACCCTCCATAGACCTTTCCTCTGTAGTATTTTGAGGCTCTCACAGCCAGAATACCTTGAGTTTTTAAAGCAGAGAGTGAGAACATTATATCAGTGTTCAGGGAAATTATCCTGGCATCTGTGTGCCAAATGGAAGGTTCAGAGAGTGCCAACAGTTATGAGTTAGGAGACACTTTAGGAGTTTAGTGCAGTAATTTAGGCACATTGTGATGGAGACTGGGTTAGTGTGGAGGTGTGGAGGTGGAATGAAAAGAGTGATTTGGGGTTGACCATTAGAAGGAAGAACTGATATAACTTGAATGTCACAATTGCTGTAAATAAAGCAGTGAGTAGTAATTAGAAACAACTTAAATGATCATTAATATGAACAGTTAAAGACAACCATGGAATAGAATGTTAGGCAGCTAAAAAATGACATTGAATCTATATTATAGACATTGGTGTTATACACAACAGAGTATGAGATGAGAAAAACAGTTATAGTATAATTCCATTTTTATGAAAAAATATGCCTATGAGAGAGGTAAGTTTAGTATGCATTTAAAAAGTCTGAAAGGACATAACTCAATATGTTAACAATGGTTACCTGTGAATGGTGAGATCATAGAGGAATTTTTTCCTGTCTAATTTTTAATTTTTAACCCAGACATTGAGTGTTTTAATAATAGAAGTAAACTAACAACAATAACAACAAAAATAATTCAATAATTCAATAACTATAGCTAATAACCATCTCTCAAGTTCTGTCTAGGATACCATGGTCTATCATACTGGCATTCCCAGGAGAGCTATTTCTAAATCCTTCTTTCCTGGCAGAACTAGGAGGGCTAATGATTTCTGCTATGCTTCAGAGCCATTGGATAATGAAAAGTGACTAATAAGAGAAAAAGAACGGGAATGGGAGGGAAAGAGGGGGGCTGGGAAGGGGGCAAGAAAGATTCACTTTTTACCATTTAGGTATTAAGGAAACAGAGCCCAAGAAAGAGGAAAAGATTTAACACAGGTAAAGGAAGAAGTCATATTTACAAGGTGGAGGGTTCCATAAACCTTCCTAGAAACAATTCCATTACTGGATTTGTAAGGGAAGGGTCTTTCTCCAGACACTCCAAGAACCACTCAGGACTTACAGAGCTCATGAGTTCCAGGGTAATCACTGAATTCCAGCACATAGAGATGTCTCCCCTTCACACTGCGCCCGATACTGTAGATCCGTGTGATGTGGGGGCATTGGTTGTGCACCTTGTACAGTGTCCGCACAAGGTCATCATAGTGGTGGTGATGAAAGGTCACGGGGGCAACCAGCTTGAAGAGAAGGAGAAGGTGCAGGAAAACTGAGAGCAGGTCTGACATCTTGCTGGGTTTCTTCAAAGAGAGCCACGGAAATGTGTACCTACTCTCCAAATAAGCCTCTTCACTGGTCAGAAACTAAGGGGCCAAGAACTAGTTTGCCCAGTTTCCCTCCAGTAAGCTCAGTGTGACAGGACCTGGAAAGAGATTCAGGATTGTCCGTCTCAATGCTGAAAATTATTTATGTAGCTCTTGAATAGCCACTCAGCTCTTCACACTTATTTCTCCTCCTCTCTGAATCCTGCAAAACCTCTTGAAAGGTTTACTGATTAACTGGACTGTAAACAGACTTCAATAAAGAGCGGTTTATAACCCTTTGATTCCCAGAGAATTTTAAGAAACTTGGTTGAGCCTATTCCCTTTGTTACAACTGACAAAAAGACCTCTTGGTCCGCTTTGATCTACCCCACTACTGCTGCCATGCATCTCCCTGAAGCACACTTTTTCTTGTCCCTTTTTTTCTCCCTCAAAAATCTTTCAACAGATACCATCAAGAAAACTAAAATAGCCCTGAATGTGGTGGTAAACACCTATAATCCCAGCACTTGGGAGGCAAAGGCAGGGGGCTGTGAGCTTGAGGCCATCCTGGGCTGCATAATGAGTTCAAGGCCAGTCTGAACTGCATAACAAGACCCTGTCTCAAAAAAACCAAATCAAAACAAAAAAACAAAAAACAAACAAACAAAAAAAGAAAATGAAAATATTAGCTACTGACCTGGAGCAAATAATTGTAAATCACATATCTGATAATATATTTATATTATATAAAGAACCCTCCTCATCCTAATAGGAAGATAACCCAATTAAAAATTAGCAAAAGATTTGAATAGATATAGTGCTTCACAAAAATAAAATATGAATGTCTAATAAGCATATTTAAAGATGTTCAACATCACTAGTTATTAAATAAGTGCAAATTAAACAATGTGAGATTCATTCACCTCCACTAGAGTGGCTATAATTAAAAAATAATAATATTTTTGGAGGAAACAAGAAAACAATAGAACCTTCATATAATGCTGATAAGAATGCAAAATAGTGCAGCCATTCTGGAAAAGTTTTGCAGGTTCTTAAAAGATTAAATATGTTCTTACTATATAACTCAGAATTTCACTTCCAGGTGTCAACACAAGAGAAATGATATGTATGTGTATGAATGTATTCACACAAAAAATTGTACATGAATATCCACAGCAGTATTATTCACAATACATAAAAAGTGGAAACACCCCAAATACCCATTTACTGCTGAGTAGATAAACACAATATAACATATTCATACAACAGAATATTATCTGACAATAAAAAGAAGTGAATTACTGAACATTGTACAACAGGAGAGAATCTTAAATATATTGTCCACTTAAATATATTGTGTCCAGACATAACAGACTACATTTTGTATGATCCATGTCATATGAAATACTTAAAAAGGCAAAAATATAGAAAATAAATGTAGATTAGAGGTTGCTACATTCTCTATTCTCTTCCATTGATCCACTTGTCTGTTTTGTACCAGTACCAAGCTGTTTTTACCACTGTAGCTTTGTAATATAACTTGAAATCTCAGATTGTGATGCCTCCCATAGCAGCATTATTCATAAATTCAAACTGGAAACTATTCAAATGTACTAACTGGAAAATAGAAAAGTAAAATGTGGTATATCCATACAATTGAACACTATTCATCAATGAAAAGGAATAAAATGCTAATACCATGCTGCAACATGGAGGGACTTAAAAAACACTATGCTAAGTGAAAAAGGCAGAAATTATAAACTATATATTGTATGATTCTCTTTATATGAAATGTGTCACAAAGGTAAACTAGTAGAAGTGGAAAGTGAAATTGTTTGGCTGTGGTGGGAGATGGGAATGGGGATTAGCTGTAAATGGCCAGAAGGAATCTTACTAGAGTGAGGGAAATGTTCTAAAATTGGCTGATGATGTTGATAGTTGCATAACCTGGTAAATTTACTAAAAATCACTTAATTATACACTTAAGAAGTGTGAATTTTGTGGTATGTAAATTATACCTCAGTAATTAAAAAGAAAAGTTTCAATGGATCTCAATGCACTATTATGTAAAAATCCAAATCCAAAGCCTGGGTTTCAAGTCCTTTCTACCAGTTCTATTTACCTATGCCTTATCATCCTGTCCTCACTCCAGTCACTTCACCTACTGTCTCCTGTGCATGCTTTCATTGCTAACTTTCCTATTTTCTTACATGTTGTTTCCCTAAGAAGATAACCTAGCTCTGAATCCTGAGTCTCTCTCCTCCCCTTGTAATTGCTGCTATAATCTTTGTTTCTCCAAAGCTATGGCTTTGCCTGTTTTGCATTTAACTCACTTCCCTAGTCTGGTGTTACAGCAGAATGCAGTTATACTGAACCACTGTTTCTTCCCTGAAGCCTGATCATCAGCCTCTAGCTAGGAAGCTGGCACAAGTGTCAATGTTTGTTGAGTGCATGAATGACCAAAGCCATTATTGACTTTTCCCCCTTGGATCCAGTAGTTCTGTCTTTAGTTAATTTGCTGAAGGAAAACCCATGCTTTTATAATTGGTCAGTAAAAGCAGCTATTTCCTCTTGCATATTTTAGGTAAGCACACAATATAGCCTGGTCAGTGTAACTCATATTGGGCCCAGAGTGTTGGCCCAAGATTAATACTAAATTGTAGTACCACAGGGTTTGTGCCTTACACATACTGCTAAAGTTCCATCATTTTCACATGAAATCTTGCCACCCTTAGGTGGTTAAGGCAGGGGTCAAGAGAGAATGCTGAGAGGGTATCACCAAGTCCTTGATCTAGGTAGGATAACTACTGTCACTATTGAGGACTTGGCTTAGTGGCCCCTAGGTAACCCTAAATTGTTCTTGTCTAGGAATAATTCCCATATATCTGGTAAATATGCCTATAGTTCTTATGGAGACCTTGCCCACACTAAATAAATGACTCCCATTCTTTAGTAGAAGGAGGCACCTCCCTGCCTGCTTGTACTAGGGGTTGTTGCACTGTTATCAGGGCTAAGGTTGGGATACATTCCATGGAATTCCATAGAGTACTGGAGTGTGTGCCCTGAAGTCAGAGGGCCTTCAACACCTCTCAGAGAAATTGGAAATAAAAGAAACATGGGCTTGAGTATCAGAAGGACATGATTTTAAATCTAAGTTCAGCTTCCTCTTAGGCCATTTGATTTTGGGAAAATGACAACTTCTTTAAACCTCGGGGTTTTGTTTTGTTTTTGGTATAACGATAGTGAAATACAGCTCCTCCCTCATGGGTTGTTGTGTGGATCAAATAAAATGATCTATGTAAAGTCCCTCATAGTGCCTGGTACATAGTAAGAGTGCCATAATAATAGTAGTAGTAGTAATGATAGTAGCAGCAACATAAGTGTTTACTTAATTGTCTTGCTAGGTGATGGAGTAATTCACAATTCATTCATTCAACAAATATACATGAACGCTCACTACTAAAAGCCAATGCCTTTAAATATAGTACAATTTTCAGTCTAGAAAAAAACCAACAAAGATCCTGATCCATGTGGTGCTTATATTCTAATGAAGAGACAGACACAATCAAGAATGGAAAAGTCAGTCTCTCTCCTTGTAGACAAAGAAAGAGGCACAACACTGAGGTGAGAGTGATAGATGTGACCACATAGCAGGCTACTAAGCAGGTTCACTCACCTCATTCTTTTGGGAGTGGGAGAGTTCAGGAAGGGCTTTCTGGGGGATATGTGGGAGGTGAACTCTATTGTTTCTAGACTCCTGCCTCTCCCAAAATGAGCATGTCTTAATTTCAGGAACCTGTGACAATGTTATGTTATACTGCGAGGGGAAATGGAATTTGCCGATGAAATTGAGGTTGCTAATCAGCTGTAATGAAATGAGGAGTGTCTGGGTGGGCCCTGTGTAACTGCAAGTGTCTTTATAAGTGGAAGAGGGAGATAGGAGGGGCAGAGGCAGGGCTAGGAGATGTGAGACGAAGTACCTGCTTGCAGGCTTTGGAGGTGGAGGAAAGGGGCCATGAGCCAAGGAATGTGAATATCCTCTAGAACTGTAAGATTCTATAAGGTAAGATGAACTATAAGCTTAACTCTAAGGTACGATTCTTTCCTAGGGCCTCCAGAAAGGAACATAGCTTGATTTTAGATTGGTGAGGCTCAATTCAGACTTCTGATATCTAGAATTGTAAGTTATATATTTGTGTTATTTTAAGCCACTATCTTTGTGGTCATTTTTTACCATAGCAATAGGAAATTATATATTCCCCAACTAACTTAAGTCTGTGACAGAATTTGGACTCTTCAAGGGAGGCCGAAGAGAGAATTTAATCATTATCTCCCCAGGATCTTGACTCAGACCTTGGGGAGCCAGCCCTACAAATGTCTGTGTAGACCCAGACCAAATGATGTCTTTAGAGTTCTCTCTGTTTCTTCTCCTCATTCTAATTTTAGGCATTTCTTTCTTTCTAGGTTCACAGTGTTCTCAAGCTGTCTCTGTCTGGATCATCAAGTCTCCAGTCTGCTCTAGGCAAATGTTAATAATGCTTCATAATTCTACATTGCCTTACAAGTTACCAACAACTTCCTTATGTATTCTTCACAAAAGCCTGGGAAGGAAGGTACTCTAATCTGATTTTAAAGGAGAAATTTCCCAAAGTTGCATAACAAAAAGTAGTGGAGGTGGGCCTGAATTTCCCCCTGGCACAGTTGGCCCAATATTCTACTCAACTCACTTCAGTGAATACAGCTATGGAACATGGGTGGAAACCCACCAGAGAAATGTAAGCAGAGAAGGCTTTGTTAAAATTGGAAAGGGCTGGGAGGAGATAGAAGGATATTTACGCATCAGGGAGGGCATCTTCTCTCATCCTTCCCTAGAGCCTAGAAAAAGGACAGAGAAGGTAGTGGAAGGGGGAGAGTGACAGGGAAATCAAGAAAGAGAGAGTCACCCTTGTGTAGGCAAATGAACCAATTTTCCCAACCCAGACACCAGTTACAATAGTTATAAAATTTTTTCTTTACATCTTTTAGCAGTTACTTGCAGAGAAGTCTCAATACAACTTAACCCTGTTTAATAAATGTTAGCTCAATTTTAGCTCTATAAATGAATCAAGAGTCCAGCTCGATTTCAAATCACCAGGCACTCTTCAAGAGTGCCAAGTGTTACAAGAGAGTAGAGCAAAGGGAACCCGGATGACTCCCA